AACAATAAAACACAGTAACAATAGAACATTAACTCAATAAAAGGACAACATCTTTTGAGTTTTTGATTCACTTATTTTTACTTTATGGGGTTTTTTTTTTTTTTTGTAACTTTTAACAGCCTCTGATTTTAGAGTCTCTCAAAATACGATCGTAACAGCGTATGCCCAGAGACTGACACAGTCCTCCATTTTGTTAAGAACCTCCATCTTGGCAAAGGGGTTAACCATCCTGACAAACATATTTCCCCCTCATTCTCTCCCTCCCTTTCTGAGAGTCACAGGGACATTTGGCCAGACTGTATGTGTGTTAGGAGTGTCACAGGAGGCCAGGGCCCAGCAGGGGCTAGGAGCTATAAAGTCCCCAAGGAGCTGGGCCCTAGCTGTCGGAAGAACCTGTAAAATGTAACACCTCGTATTCAAGATGGCAAGCTTTCCCCTCGTAGGAGTTCAAGACATTCCAAGGAAGGCAGGACCAGCTAACACTTTGAAAAATCCCCCATGTCTATGCGTTTTTCCCCTATGTCTCATATCCTGGAATATGAGAGACTTACATAAAAACCAGACATATCGTCAGATTGGCTAAGAGAAGCCGAACAATTTGATAGGTCACTTGCCTTGTCTCGAATACATAGGAAAGCCGAAAAATTGATCTCGTGAACTGTTCAGTGTATAATTTCATAATTCATATCTAATCAATCCTCAGACGTGTCTGCATAATAATCTACCCGCGGGTGGGATGTCACTTGTGCATAGGAAAAGTTATGAGCCAAAATATGAACTACACAAGATTTTGGCTCTAGTTTAGGTCCATGCCCAGACCTCCACACCCTAAACGGGGTATTGGTCCTTGACTTCAAAGACACCCCCTGCTGGGGAACTATAAATTAGGCTGTCAGGCCTAAGAAGAGGAGTTGAAGACGTCTCCCATTTTAACATCAGTACCACCTGGGGAGACCCGTGCCCTTTCGCTCTGAAACTTGGATCTGCTAACCCAGGACTTTGGCAAGTACCTTAACCCTTTCACCTCTCTCTGATAACTCTTTGCTGTGCTGTTAGTCTCTGTATATTTATTTGTATATCTTAGTTACATCTTTTTCTGTAAATATTGTTATTGCACACGTTTGACCTTTTAGTAATAAATCTTTCCCTCTGAAAGTGTTGAACTGTTTCTATAGCGCTTTATTGCAATTTACGAATTCCTGCCTCTAAAGCGAACGCTACTGTGTTTGTTTAACCCTCTGTATAACCGTGTTATACAGACGATTATTATTATTATTATTATTATACAGTATTTATATAGCGCTAAAAGGTTTGCTCAGCGCTGTACATTATAGTGGGGGACAGAACATGAGACAATACAGTGACAAAACAAAACACAAGGGATTCAAGGGTCCTGCTCTTTTGAGCTTACAATCTAAGAGGGAGGGGATAGTGGTACAGGAGGAAGTGGCTGTGGGGGATGGAGTGGTGGGAGGAGAGGAGGAGATCGGTTGTTAGGTGAGGGTGGGGTAGGCTTCCCTGAAGAGATGGGTTTTCAGGGTGCGCCTAAAGGTGAGGATGGAAGGTGACAGTTTGATGGATTGGGGTAGGGAGTTCCAGAGGATGGGGGAAGCCCTGGAGAAGTCCTGCAGTCTGACGTGGGAGGTGGAGACCAGGGAGCTAGAAAGTAGGAGGTCTTGTGAGGAGCGAAGATTACGGGTAGGGTGGTATTTGGGTATCAGGTCGGTGAGGTAGTTTGGGGCAGCGTTATGAACGGCTTTGTATGTCTGTGTCAGTAGTTTGAATTTAATGTGTTGGGCAATCGGGAGCCAGAGGGGGGTGGCAGAAGAGGAGCGGTTGGTAAGGTGGATGAGTCTGGCCGCTTACCTCAACCATTATAGTGTTATAACTGATATCGCCGAGTTTCCTCTTTCTTTCTCTGTGGTGGTGGCAGTGTGAAGGGTTAATTGCATAATTAACCTGACCCAGTAACAATCGCTCAGGCTGCCGGTACATCGATTGTGGTCCAATTAGCTGGAAAAACGTTGTGCAGGGTGCAGCTGGGTGTGGTATTGTTACGCGCGTGACATCGCGGTTTTAAATCGGCTAGTCCTTTGGTCACAAGTTTGGTGAGAAGGGCTGGGGTCTGACTCCGCGATCGTGACAACGATAGACAGTTTCCTGACTATCTAACATCTTTCGAGACCTTGTGTCAGAATGGTGAATATGTGCCCTAGACTGTGCTGTATTGTACCCTATACCAATACTCCACTAGTGTGTGGTACTGACGGAAGCAGCCCTTGAGGCAGAGACCAGGTTGGCCAGGACAGGAGGAACAAACCCCCCCCAAAAACAAAACGGGTGTTGCATCTTATTCCGTGTCTGCTACAGACACGGGGGTGACATTCAGGTTGGGGTACCAGAGAGGACATCCAGAAAATGCCTCTCATGCAGCCAGCTCACTGCATCTGCAATTGGGTATTGGGCCACAGCACCTTCTGAATACAAAAGGGCCATGATGATCTCTTCCTGAAATTTTAGAATGGATCCACTTCGCCCAGTTGCTTTGTAAATTACAAAAGCGTTCTATATAGCCAATTGAAATAAATAGACACCTTTTTCTACCAGTGTCGAACTTTGGGGGAAACTAGGTACAGATTCATCAGTCGTTGAAGTTCACACCTCTCATGTTAAGGTTATAGTCATGCACACTGAGGAGTTTCTCAACAACACCAGATGCTGTGCTAATTTTGGTCATCGTGTCTCCGTGAATGGAAGAAAGGATGAAAACATCCCATTTGTTATTCCACTTCACTCCAAGCAATTAATCATTTCTCAAGCAGGCTATCTCTCCTTTTCTAAGTCGGGTGTTTACAGGCCGTTGGGGGAAGCCTCGGCGTTTAGGTTGCACGGTGCCACATGAGCCAATTGCAGGATTGTACAAATGTCTAAATCCTTATATATATTATATATACACATCTGCAAATTTCTCAGTGAGGTGGTTTATGAGGGGCCAAAGTTTGTAGAGCTGGTCATGTTCAGGATCACCCCGAGGACGACAGTGTGTCATCTGAAATGCATGAAGCGCATTATCGTCTCATATCTATGCCTGGCCATGGCAGCAAGGAACATAGCATATGATTAGTTCGGTCTGTCGACCAATATGACTGCAACTCATTCTTTTTGTAATGCCCATGTTGAGGGTTATGCCCAAAAATGTTTTAAAATTGGAAACCATAATAGGGTTCTAATGGGTATGTTTCCACCTGAATTCCAGGTTGGGCAGTGAATGGGGGAAGTACGGATGATACAGAATCTGTGGACTGCCAATCAGAATTTGCAAGCATGTCCAAAAGGACACTATGGGCTCTACAGGCCTGTGTTCAAATTCTTGATGGCTGTGGGACACTATTTGTGCTCGCCACCTCACCAGCTTGTACTGCACTTATGGAACTTGCCACATCACCAAGTGATACTGCAGTGCTGAAATGAAAAACACCAGGATTTACTAGGCCGCTGGTGCTCGGCAGTTCACCAAAAGGTAGTGCGGCACTAGTACTAAACTGCAATTGAGACAAGTCATGCATTTATAGCACTTCAGCTTCATGGGGTCGGGTACGCCTGGTCTTAACAGGGACCTCTTCTCCATCGTCCAAGTTACCTGTTGAGGTGCCGATGCTTTCTACAGTTTTGTATTCTGAGGCAGATTCTGTCAGAGAGGCTTCCCCTTTGCTCTCATCTGACATGCTCAGAATCCTGTGGCCTCTTCACTAGTGTACCTTTTTTGGGCTCTAAATTTACAGGTGCAACTCACGGGAAAAAAAGCACCTGGCTGTCAGGGACTGCTTGAACCGCTACCATAAAATTTACCTGCTAGTGCTAGCAGAGATCAAGCCTGATTCTGCTAAATCTGAAGTTTTGTGTGCAATGTATCACAGGTGACATTGATCAGATATTACACTGACACTGCACTTCTTGTTAGGGGTGGGGCAGAGGGGCTAAATCCAAGTGCTGGCAGCGAATAGGACTGATCCTGCTAACACTGCGTTTTTGGGGAAACTAATACTAAGGGGGCACTGGTATAGTTCTGTTCGTGATCAATATATTGATCTGTACAAACACTATACTAGTAATGACAGTGATCAGCGATCTATAGCATGAGTGTGATAGTGTCCGGCAATCTAACGCTAACTGACCCTGAATGGGTGGGGTGCTAACTGACCCTGACGTCGCTAGTAGCACTAATACAGTGAAAAAAACTGTACACTGACACTGTACTAATAGCGCTGGCAGGGTGACGGGGCAATCAAAGGGTTAATTTGGCAATGAAGGGGTTAAATGTGTCTAACTAAATTGTGTGGGTGCAGTGTGCTGCTTTTACTCGTGTAATGTCTCTTTCTTCTCTCCCTGGAACAAAATGGTTCCAGGGTAAGAAGATCCAGCTAGATCCTGTGCCTGTATTTACAAATACAGGCACAGCTCTGCTTCTGCATTTGCTGTAGCAGAGGAGCAGAGTCCCTGCCAAAAATCACTGGCTGAGATCTGCTGACACGCATCTCCTGCAGAAAATGACAGTGGGGAACGCACACACATGCACGCTCCAAACCCAGAAATGAACAGTGGCGTACGGGGACGTCACTGGTCCTGCAGATGCCACCCGTTTGCAGTACATTGCGAGCGAGCGAACCGAAAGTGGCTACAAATACATGGTCATGTAAGATTACCCTGCCCAGAGGTTGACAATGCTGATGTTTTAGAACCAAGAACATATATAATTACCATTTTGTCATGTGACTGTCTGTCACTCATACCTTAGGTTTGCTGTGGCAGCTAACTACAGAATATACCTTAGAATTTAGCAAATATATCGCTGTGCATGTATTTGGAAATTAAATTCAGTATTCTGAAATAAAGCACAATCATATACACTATATTGCCAAAAGTATTGGAACACCCCTCCAACTCATTGGATTTGGGTGTTCCAATCACCTCCATGGCCACAGGTTTATAAAATCAAGCACCTAGGCATGCAGACTGCTTCTACAAATATTTGTGAAAGAGTGGGCCGCTCTCAGGAGCTCAGTGAATTCAAGCGTGGTACTGCGACAGGTTGCCACCTGTGCAGTAAGTCCATCCGCAAAATTTCCTTGCTACTAAATATTCCACAGTCAACTGTTAGTGGTATTATAACAAAGTGGAAGCAGCTGGAAACAACAGCAATGAAGTGGTAGGCCACGTAAAATGACAGAGTGGGGTCAGCACAGAAGTCGCCAACTGTCTGCAGAGTCAATAGCAAAAAACCTCCAAACTTTGTGCGCCTTCAGATTAGCACAACAACAGTGCATAGAGAGCTTCAAGGAATGCGTTTCCATGGCCGAATAGCTGCATCCAAGCCTTACATCACCAAGTGCAATGCAAAGCGTCAGATGCAGTGGTGTAAGGCACGCCTCCACTGGACTCTAGAGTAGTGGAGACATATTCTCTTGAGTGACAAATCACGCTTCTCTGTCTGGCAATCCAATGAACGTGTCTGAATTTGGTGGTTGCCAGGAGGACGGTACTTGCCTGACTGCAGTGTAAACTTTGGTGGAGGGGGGAATATGATGTGGGGTTGTGTTTTAAAAGGGTTGGGCTTGGCCCCTTAGTTCCAGTGAAGGGAACTCTTAAGGCGTCAGCGTACCAAGACATACTTTGTGGGAACAGTTTGGGGATGGCCTCTTCTTGTTCCAACATAACGGTGCACAAAGCAAGGTCCACAAAGACATGGATGAGCAAGTTTGGGGTGGAGGAACTTGACTGGCCTGCACAAAGTCCTGACCTCAACCTAATAGAACACCTTTGGGATGAATTAGAGCGGAGACTACGAGCCAGGCCTTCTCGTCCGACATCAGTGCCTTTCCTCACAAATGCTCTTCTGGAAGTCAAAAATTCCCATAGACACACTCCTAAAGCCTTGTGGACAGCCTTCCCAGAAGAGTTAAAGCTGTTATAGCTGCAAAGGGTGGGCTAACTCAATATTGAACCCTATGGACTATGACTGGGATGCCATTAAAGTTCATGTGCATGTAAAGGCACCCCAATACTTTGGCAATATAGTGAATATATACATAGTATGTGTACCTGATGTGCTGTTGTCCCTTTAATAACCCAAAGCAACATGGTTTTTGTTTTGACGCAGTGCCTTAAGAAATGTCATTGGAATCATTACTAAGGGATTTTGTTATATTGCTCTATTAACTAAATGCCACAGGTTATATTGCACATAGAACCCAAACACTCAGCAAGTAAAACAGGAACATAAAGTTTTAAGCTGTTCTGTGTGGCAAATATTAATATAATGGCAGTGCTCTTGAAAATTAAGAGTAATTACAGATTTGGTAGATGATGACAGCTGGTACGAGATAGCTTTTAAGAATATACACTCACTGGCCACTTTATTAGGTACACCTGTTCAATTGCTTGGTAACACAACTTGCTAATCAGCCAATCACATGACAGCAACTCAGTGCATTCAGGCATCTAGACATGGTGAAGACGACTTGCTGAAGTTCAAACCGAGCATCAGATTGTAACGAGTGGTTATTTGAGTTACTATTGCGTTTTTATCTTCTCAAACAACACTGTAGTCTGCTGGTGGTTTGTGGGGATAAAAACCTAAATCGTGCTCTGCTGGTGAATATCTGCTCCATGTCAATCACTCATTGAGTTGCTGCCATTTGATTGGCTAATTAGCAATTTGTATTACCAAGCAATTGAACAAGTATACCTAAAAAAAAAAAAAAAAAGAGGCCGGTGAGTGTATATAAAAGTACGGAAACTTTTTGAAGACTATATGTACACACACACACACACACACACACATATATATATATATATATATATATATATATATATATATATATATATATATACACAGTTGTGTTCAAAATAATAGCAGTCAGACATCACTAACCTGATCAATCACTGTTTTTGGTAGAAATTATATTTCTAAATGGCAAATAATTTACTAACAGGTGTAGTAGAATAATAGAAATCCAACAGACCCGACAGTCATGACATGCATGCTGCTGATTCTGTGTAATTGAATCACTAATTGAAAGGGGCATGTTCAAAATAATAGCAGTGTGGAGTTCTATTAGAGAGATCATTCATTCTTTGAAAAACAGGTGGCAATTATTGCCCTTATTTAAGGAAGGAAGGCAGCAAATGTTGTACATGCTGGTTACAGTGCATTTCTCTCTGAAATTCTGAGGAAAATGGGTCGTTCCAGACATTGTTCAGAAGAACAGCGTACCTTGATTAAAAAGTTGATTGGAGAGGGAAAAAACAAATAAAGAAGTGCAGAAAATGATAGGCTGCTCAGCTAAAATAATCACAAATGCTTTAAAATGGCAACCAAAACCTGAAAGATGTGGAAGAAAGCGAAAAACTACCATTCGAATGGACAGAAGAATATCCAAAATGGCAAGGACTCAGCCAACAATCAGCTCCAGGAAGATCAAAGAAGGTGTAAAGTTACCTGTGAGTACTGTTACAATTAGAAGACGCCTATGTGAAGCCAAGCTATCTGCAAGATGCCCCCAGCAAAGTCCCACTGTTGAAAAAAAGACGTGCTGAAGAGGTTACAATTTGCCAAAGAGCACATTGACTGGCCTAAAGAGAAATGGCACAACATTTTGTGGACTGATGAAAGTAAGATTGTTCTTTTTGGGTCTGGTGGCCAGAGACAGTTTGTCAGATGACCCCCAAACACTGAATTCAAGCCACAGTACACTGTGAAGACAGTGAAGCATGGTTGCGCAAGCATCATGATATGGGGATGTTTCTCATACTACGGTGTTGGGCCTATTTATCGCATACCAGGGATCATGGATCAGTTTGAATACATCAGAATAATTGAAGAGGTCATGCTGCCTTATGCTGAAGAGGAAATGCCCTTGAAATGGGTGTTCCAACAAGACAACGACCCCAAACACACCAGTAGACGTGCAACATCTTGGTTCCAGACCAACAACATTGACGTTATGGAGTGGCCAGCCCAATCCCCGGATCTTAATCCAATAGAAAACTTGTGGGGTGACATCAAAAATGCAGTTTTCGAGGCAAAACCAAGAAATAGAGAACTGTGGAATGTAGTCCAATCATCCTGGGCTGGAATACCTGTTCACAGGTGCCAGAAGTTGGTTGACTCCATGCAACACAGATGTACAGCAGTTCTCAGAAAAAGTGGTTATACAACTAAATATTAATTAAGTGATTCAAAAGAAAGCAAAATCTTCAAAAATGTTTCAGTTTATATAGTGAATGTTTGAGTTTGTAAAGACGAATACAAACACTGCTATTTTTTTGAACAGTCTAATATTCACCTTTCTTCAATTTTTTTAGAGGAACAACACAAATTTGATATATTTTTCTTCATGTTTTGATTTGGAATAGAATGTGTAGTGTTCCCATTGCGTTTGTGTATCATATATCTGGCGAAGTCAGGCAGATCAGATCTCTCACTCTTTGGTGCCAAAGTAACTTGTGGGATTCCTTGGGCGTGAAAGTTCTCTGGTGAATAAGGGTGAGGTTTACTGGGATAAAATGATGTTGCAAGACCTTTTAGCTGTGATTTAGTCTTGAAGGCTTCTGTTGTTGCTTGAACTGTGGCTTGACACTGGGAGTCACCTTGTTGTTGGTATGAGGTGATGTGGTTTGCTGTGTAGATGCACATGTTGTGGACTTGAAGAGGCTCAGGCTTTTGCAGGTTGGAGGTCTCTGTATTTAGAGTCCGAAGACTATTGTTAGTAAGAGGTACAGGAAATGATTCTGTATCATTGCAAATGTTATGCCTTAGCACACATTCACTGGTGCTTTCAACTGGATCTTCCAGTTCTGCTGGAATGGAGCAGTTCGAATTAGTACTTTCTCCCATGGCTTGTTGAAGGACCTTCAGCCTTGCTAGGGCAGCAGCTTCCTTCCTTTCCATTTGCAGATTCTTCTTTTGGGATTCTGCCTTTAGTGCCATCTCTACTTGAGGAGTTGTGCTTTGAGTTTCTATTTCTGCTTGGTGAGCTTTCCTTTGAGTTTCTATTTCTGCTTGGCGAGCTTTTGCTTTGAGGTTTTTCAGCTTCACAAACTTTGCTTTGAGCTTCTATTTCTGCTTGGAAAGCTTTGCTTTGAGTTTCTATTTCAGCTTTTTTTCTGGCAAAAGAACTGCGCAATTTATTTGCTTCAAGACTTGCATGGGCCTCTATTAGCTTGTCGCTTAATGTTGAGCTTCTGGAGCGGGATGATCTAGAAGAACATGCTGTGAGCTTAGTAGATGTGGATTTATGAGATCTGGTGTCCTGCAGTTGAGCAATGCGGAGGTCTGCCTTATCGTTAGCAATCTTGCAGGAGGAGATCCCTTTATTGGTTTAGTGCATCTGTCTTAGTCAATCATCTTTCAGTTCTGCTAAAGAGCCCTCTATATTACAGTCCTTTAAGAAATGTGTGTATTTGCAGACAGGTACTGGTAGCGTTCATATGCTGCAGATAGGCAATCTATAGAGTCTGTTATTCAGCCGGTTGATCATTAAAGCATGGCAAAACTGACATGCCAGACGTAGCTCTTTCCCATATATCTGACAGATTGCTGGAGAACTCATCTCTAATGATTTCATAGTTTTCTCTAAGCTTCTGCTTTGGTATTATTGTGCGTTTGGGTCTTACACATTGCTCTGCGATATCTGCAGAATCTACTCCCTGTAGATATGTGTGGTCAGAGGCATTATGTATCTGTGTTGATTCAGTGATAACAGAATGCTCAGAACCTTGTCTAGACATTTTTTCAAGTTTTTGCTAAAAATGGTTACTGTTTCTTGCAGTTTAGACAGGTCGGATACCACAGTCCAATGCAGAGAAAGTTTTCAGAATTCACAGGTGACGTGCTGTAAACATGTGCATCCATGTGCACAACATGGAGGATGGAACTGAGCTTGATTGCAGATTAGACACACATATACACAGCAGGTTGTAGGATATCTACCATGTTTTGACTATTCTGACTCCAACTGTTGTATCAGTGACTTATACATTTCTGAAACCTCTATGCCTGGCCTGTGTAAGCAGCTATAATCACTGTGGACATTCTTTATCAGATAGCTGAACTCACCAAACACCTGTTTTTCTCATCCAGGGATGTTTATTAAAATGCAGAAGGTACATCAGACAACAAGATATAGCAGACGAATGAAAGGATGGTATTTGCAGGTCAAAACATGGTAATGTGTCCCCGGATGCGAGCAGACTACATGTGGCCTAGAGACAAGTGGCCATATTCATCCCAAGAAGAAAGTGAAGAAGGAAGAGAATATGCATCACTAGCTAGTGGGAGGGGACAGGATAAAAGACAGAACAGGAAGGTGCAATAACCAAAATGTCCATAAGATGGCAGTATTTTAACATTAATCAAAAATATGTATTGCATTATATTGTTACACAATATGTGTAACAGCATACAGACTGCTTCATCATCATTGTGTTCACCATTCCCACAGAAAGATTAGTCTCTTGTGCAATTTCACGACAGGTTATGTGGCAATTATCTAGG